TTTAAAGAAGTAATTAAATTAAAATAAGGTCTTTAGGGTGAGCACACTAATTCAGTATGACTAATGTCCTTATAAGAAGAGGAAATTTGGGAACAGATTTCCTGGATTACATGGAGGGCGGGGGGACCAAGTGAAGACACAGGCCCGAAAGAGAGGCCTCAGAAGAAACCAATCCTGCTGACACCTTGATCTCAGGCTTCTAGCCTCCTTATGAGAAAACAAATTTCTGTTGTTTAAGCTCCCCATTCAATGATTCTTTTTATGGCAACCTTAGGCCATCAACACAAGAAGATGCCTCCAAGTGAGCAGCGCTTTTACGTTGATTGTTAAGCTTTAATTCTTGCATTCCTGATTTTGCAACTGATTTCTCTTTGGATTCAGAACTTGTAAAAGGTTATACATTCTCCCAGAAATATCAGGAAGAAATATCCGCTTGTATTTGTCAAATCTGAGCTTTCCCATAGGACAGTTTATCTGCTACAAAGTGTCCGCATTAGTTCAACATTGAAGTTGCCCTATCAATTTCCTGGATCCGCTCTTCAATCCACTGCCCGTCTTTCCCCAGAAATGTATTGCAATCTCTTGACCATTTATGGCTCCTTTCTCTTATTTTGATTGCACGGGATAATATTTCTTTGGCAAGGAAAGGGAGACATGTTCATGAGCTTAATATACCACATTAAACCTGAGAAACTCCAGGAATATTACGTCTCTCCTTTTTTTTTTTGGTAGATTTTGTGTGTATCCACTGAAAGGAAAGGAGAAGATAGAATATTATTTTCAGATCCGTAGAGAATGATTTCTAACATAATCTTAGTCTCACTTCAAACTCATGTATGTAGCAATAAGGCTGAAATTTTATAAGTGAAATTAATTTGTATCCCAAACAGCCCTTATATTAAAAAGTACTGAAAAAATAATTTCAGTCAATTTTATAATTATCTTAGTCAATTCAGGATTACCCTAGCAAATCTAGGTTTTGACACTTCCTCTCTTCCTGGAATTAAACTCAGTGTCCCAACAAGCATTTTATTTCAGTGGTTTGCTGATGCAGCCTTCCCTAAAGCAATGGGCACTAGACTCAAGTTCTATTCTTTCTCACTTCCACCAGTCTAAATCCAGATCTGTATTATCTCACCCTTGATAAATTTAGTGGTCTACATACCATTTTCCCAAGCTGCAGGATGTTCTCCACATGACTTCAACCACTACATGATTCTGGAGTAGGGATCTTAAACAGCAGCTGCAGAGCACTGTGAAATTTCATGCATGGGCATGCAAGATTTGGTGAATGCTCTGAAAGTACTGTATTTTGTGTGTGTGTGTGTGTGTGTGTGTGTGTGCGCGTGTGCATGTATACACATATGTATTTCTGGAAAAAGGTCCCTAGTTTTTATTAAATTTTCAAAATAATAAAAAATCATCTTGTACTACTTAATTTGACCCATTCTTCTAAGTTACCTCAGTCATCACTGGACTCTAAGTATAAGAAACATATTTTCCTAGTTATTCACTCTCCCACTCATCCACCAAACTCTTTTGTATTTTTCTTTTGCTTTCCTCACATCTCCTCACTTATCCTTACTCTCAAATCTTTCCCTGAGAAAATAGGTGTAATCAGAAGAGGCATTCCATAAACTTCCACCACTTCATCCTTCCATTCATCCACCTTGGAACCAACCACTCTGCCTGTTACTGTGGTTGAAGAGAGCTTGTGCCAAGCAAAGGTCAATACCTCTATTTTTGAATCACCCACTTCCCTCTCTTCTCAAGGACATCACTCAAGTAAAACCCCACTTTACCTTCTGCATCACCAATTTTCCCTTTCTTGCATCTTTCCCCTTAGCATGCAAACATGCTTTTGATATTTCTCCCACAGAAAGCCAAATTACTTGATGCCCTCTGATATGGTTTGGCTATGTCCCCACCCAAATCTTATCTTGAATTGTAGCTCCCACAATGCCCACGTGTTGTGGGAGGGGCCTGGTGGGAGGTAATTGAATCACGGAGTGGGTCTTTCCCATGCTGTTCTTGTAATAGTGAATAAATCTCATGAGATCTGATGATTTTACAAGGGGGAGTTTTCCTGTGCAAGCTCTGTTTTTGCCTGCTGCCATCCTTGTAAGACATGACTTACTCCTTCTTGCCTTCTGCCATGATTGTGAGGCCTCCCTGGCCATATGGAACTGTAAGTCCATAATTTATCTCCTTTGCATTTATCATTTTCTAAAACAATATACATTTTACTTAACTATATTTTACTTGACTATTTTATTATCTGTTTCAAATCAAAGAATGCAAGCTCTATGAGGGCAGGAATTTTAGTCTGTATTATTCACTGCTTTATTATCAGAACTTAACATGGTGCTGGGTAGATAGTAAGTTCCTTATAAATATTTGCAGAAGAATTAAATAAATGAATCTTAATCTACACTGTAGCAGGATTTGATTCTGTTAATTATACCCTCTTCCTTGAAAGATCTTCTTCACTTGTTTTCCAGATGACATGGTCTCCAATTTTTCTCCTATTTCAAAAGCTTCTTCTTCCAGTCCGTTTTTATCCCATTTGTTCCTCAGAACTCCAAACTCTTAATGTTGGCATGCCCCAGAATTATGGGCTGAACTGTGTACCCAAAAATTCATATGTGAACGTCCTTAATCCTAGTCCTTCAGAATGTAAGTAACCTTATTTTCAGATAGGGTTTCTACAGAGGAAATGAACTTAAAATGAGATTATTAGCATTGGCCCTAATCCAAAATGATGGATGTCCTTATATAAAGTGAATATTTGGAGACATGCACACACCAGGGAGAAAGCTAGCTGAAGGTCATGATAGAGATAGAAGTGATACTTCTACCAGCCAAAGGTTGCTTGCAAGCAACCTGAAACCAGGGGAGAGGCATGGATCAGATTCTTCCTCACAGCTCTCAGAAGGAGCCTACCCTGTTGACACCTTGCTCTAGCACTTTTTGTCTCCAGAACTGTGAGACAATAGATTTCTTTGTTTGAGACACCTGGTCTGTGGTGCCTTCTTATGACGGCACTCAGAAATAAAAACACTCAAGGATTATGTGTTGAGGTTTCTATTTTTGCTGTGTTTTGTTTTTTAGTAACACTTCATCTCTTCCTGATCTCATCCAGTCTTGTGTTTCTGAATCCCATCTATATGCGAGGTCTCCCACTTGCCCATCTGCAGCTCAGCATCTCCTCTTCATGACATCTCCAACTCCCTACCCAACATCCGCCTTAGTGCATCCAAACTAAGCTCACCTTTCCCTGAAACCTTGCTCCTCCCAGTCTTCTCTGTCTCACTTATTAGCAACCCCATCCTTCAAGTTGCCTCAGGTGATTTACCTTTGATATCATTCTTGACTTTCCTCCTTCTTGAACTCCTGGCCTCAAGCAATCCTCCTGCCTCGGCCTTCTAAAGTGCTGGGATTGCAGGCATGACCCACCATGCTTGGCCTCTCCTCCTTGTTGTCTTCAGTCTATTTGCAGAAAACCTGACTCTCTTTTCAAGATATATTCAGATACCCCTTCTCAATACCTCCAGTGCTTCTGCCTTGGTGGCACCATCATCTGCCACTTGATTTATAGCACTTGCCCCCTAGTTTGTCCTCCTGCTTCCACCCTTAGCACTCCTTTACTCTATTCCCATTAGAGTATCCAGAAAGATCCTATTAAAATGCAGTTCAGAAAATATCACACCTCTGTCCAAAACTCTGCAGTATCTCATCTCACTTCACAAACAATTACAGTGGCCTGTGAGGCCCTACAAGGTCCAGTCCTTAGTAACCTCTTTCACCTCCTCTCCTACTCAGTCCCTGTCCAGCTCACCCTGCTCCAGCCACATGGGCTTCCTTGCTGTCCAGATATGCCAGGACTGTTCCTTCATTTGCACTTGCTGTTCCCTCAGCCCAGAACAATCTCTCAAATAGCTACATAGCACATCATAATCATTCAGTGAATATTTCTTCAATGAATTTCTTGAAGCAATAGGGAATACATTGGAAAGATTCATATTAATAAAATAAAATTAAAACTCTTTAGTTTCACACTCAAATTATGGTTCCATTTCATCTTTACAAGCTTCTTACGTACACTTAATACTCAGAAATTGTCTGTTTTCACTGCAGTGCTTCTCATAAAAATGTCACTTAATAAATATGTAATAATTTGAAGAATCAGATAAGAACAAGAGATACAAGGAGCTCAATTTACTTCAATTTGTGAAAACTGCTTTGCAATTACTGGTAGTTCTAGACTAGTTCCTCCCAATGTAGCCATTTGTCCTAATTGCAGCAAACAAAACCAAGCAAAACTTTGCCTTCTGGGAATAATGCTTCTTCATTAATGGTAAGGCTCTGACTCTCACTCTCTTTATTATTTGTTTAAGCTTTTTGGATGAGAATTTAGGATCCAAGCCTGGAGTTTTTTTTAATCACTGTATAAATTTATTCTTTCCTTGTTTTATATTAATAGAGTCTTAGTTTTAAGTTGGGTACATGATTACCCAGAAAAACAAAACAAAACAAAGAAAACATACTACATTTCCCAGACTCTCTTGCAAATGACTGGCCATAAGACTATGTTCCAGTAAAGGGGATGTTAGTATAAGATACCAGTTCAAAAAGAACTGGCATATACTATTTGCTCCCTTTTTTCTGTGCCTCTTCCTATAGCCTGTTGCCTGGAATGCATACATGATGACTGGAACACTAGCTGTAATTTTGGATCATGAGGAAAAGTGCCACACCGTTGGAGATGAGGGATGAGCTGAAAGGGGTGTATGTTATTGAGGGTTTTGCTGAGCAGAACCATCATAATAACCCTGACACCTTCTTCTTGACTTATGTGTGAAAGAAATTTCTCTTTTATTTAAGCCACCATTATTTTAGAACTTGCACACAATCAAATACCACAAAAGCTATCTAGTGCCAAGAACTTTAGAGCTAAAATGAGTTACTGCTGAATCATATAAAAGAATCAAACAAAAGAATTATCTGCAGTGATAATCAAAAGTCTTTATTTTCTCTATTTGATTTCTTAAAATTATTTTGGAAAAATAGTTATGTCTTTAGATGTACTTTCACAGAAGGAAGCTCATATGACGAAAGCAATATTCTGAGTCATTATGGCAAAAATATTTATTATTGAACAACTGTTTCATTCACTTCACATTTTACACATACTTAACACAAGCAGAAAGGGAAGGTTCAATGTCAGAAGCAGGGGTCGTTCTCCTTAACTGAAAGACTATCAGGAGAGAGCCTTTGGTGATTAGCAATCCAAATTTGAGATTTTTAAAAATACCATTAAAAATAAAGGTTGCCTATAAAATATGGGGACACATAATATTTTTCTGAAAATCTTTTTGGAAGAATGTCTTTTTATCTTCATTGTTACTATCTTAGACATTTTGAGGTTTATTTAACACAGCATTCCATCTGCTTAACATTCAAATTTAGCCACACTGATTATCTGTTCTACTCTCCTGAATAGTTAAGTACACTCTATAAATAAACACATCAATTTTGCTCTATTACTACTCTTCCAAAAAAGTCTTATATAATTGGAATTAACCTAGCATTTACTTATCATTAAATATATTTTTTTTGTTAGAAAGGATATACAGCATATGAAATTGCAGGCTTTTTATGAGTTAAAGACAAAATGTAGAACTCTCAAATAATATTTACAATGTAAACATCACAGTTATTACATTAGCTAGAATACGTCACAACATTCACAACACAATACATTTTATTTGGTTTGGATATTGAAGTTTTTTTCTTGAATTACTGATGTAGAACTCAAAATTTAATTATGTTGCGTATCGTTTTCCTTCAAGAATTCTGAAAAAGAAAAGATTGTTGCTTTAGGCATAAAATATATTTTATTTCTAGCATCTTAGTTTCATTCACTGATTTAGTTATCTAATAAACACTTATTTCTCTTTGTCCCTTGTTAGCAGCCCGTAGCAGGGGATCATGTCCTGGGACGTATCAAGAGAGCAGCTTCTAGAGGACTGATTATCAGAGAGGAACTGGAATGTGAAAAGACGTCTAACTAACCATTATTAATGATTCACTTGTAATTTTCACAAATGGACGACCCACATGATTTCCTCTTCAAAGAATTTGTCCACAGTCACCCATTTAAAAAAGAAAAGGATGGAAGATGGAATCTCATAAGTGATCTTATCATTTACAAAGCACAGTGTGATTAATCAATTCTCCTTTATATTTTAGTGCCTACTCTCTTTCTTAATTTGATGGAGAAGGCTTCTCATAAACACTCTTTCAAAAAGCTGTATGTAATTAACGTTCTTCTTTGAGCAAAGGGACTTGTTTCTCTGAAATGTCTATAAAAGATAAGGAGTTTATGTGAGTCACATTCCTGCCTCTGCCTTTCTCTTAGAGGTTGAAGGGTAATTAGTGGACAAAAGCAGTCAGTTAGTCTTCCCAGACACCATGTCCACTCTTGATGACACTTGAAAACCTTAGATAACTCCATCAGGAACTGAGGTAAGGCCATGAATTGCCTTTAGTTCGAGCATGGGTGATTTTAATCTCCTTAACCTAGTCAGGGATTGGAATCTGGCTCGCCTTCAGGCTTTATGAATAAAGTTTTATTGGAACACAGTCACTCTTATTCATTTTACATCTAACTGTGGCTGCTTTTGTGCTACGATAGCAGAGTTAAGTCATTATAACAGAAACTAGATGGCCCACAAAGCCAAACATATTTTACTCCATAGCCCTTTGAAATCCGCTAATCTTTCATATGGCGACAGCATGAAATTTCTTTAAGCACTTGCCCAGTATTATAGATTTTTTATGAGCTAATGTAGATAATAATGTGACATAACTCAGGAAAGAAATATGTCTTGAACCCACATTTATATAAAATCAATTTTGATAGCAAGCTTATTACTTCACAAAGAAAAAAGTCTATCCATGTTTTTTCTGCTCAAAAAAAAAATGTTTACAGAGAATGCTATTGGAGTCATGTAGGTAAAACAAACTTGTAGGCAAAACAAACTTACAGGTAAAACAAGCTGAATTTTACTTTTGCTGTATGAAGTTTGCCATGTTTCAAGGAATATAGTTAGACCCAGAATGCCCTGATATTTTCATGATAATGGGCCATGCTCTAATTTGGTGGTATTTCCCTGTACTTAATTAAGTGAGGTGCTAACAGTCAATTGTGGTACTAAACTTTCAATTAATAAAAGCAGCATGGGTTGATCCTCAAAAGGAAAGCCCATTTTTTTCTTGTCAGTTTGAGTCAGTCTCCTCTGTTTTTTTTTTATCTTGATACAAATGTAGAAATAACCCCAAGTGAACCAGGAACACTATTCAGATCTCAAAACGTTTGCTTATTGTGAGTGTGCTCTTTTATGAGATCAAAAAATTGCATGAATCATTCTAAGCTGTTTACTGGGTTGGGGTCCACTGTTGCAGGAGTGTCTGTCTTGGATGAGGTCTCATGATGAGAAACTCTTTAACCCTAAGACGTTTCTTACTAAGTGACTCTTAGCTACTTATATAATCAGAGACTGCAGTAAGAATACAGAAGGAATGCACAAATATACCCACCACTGGGAAGTTGTCATCAGCTTTGCTCCAAAGGGCTTTTTCATCATTTTTCTAGCTCTTCTGGAAAGTCAGGAGATTCTCCCTCACTGCTGCAGAGCAGAAAAACATTGTGCATATTAAGGCTCTCAGATGAGAAAGATTCTAAAGCAACTATTATGACATAATGGCTCTGCTGTTCTCTGTGCTCTGAAAGTGTATTGGGGGCTAAACAATTACCTTTGAAGTTTGTTAGTACCTATGAATTATTTATCAATCTTAAGAGTTTCTAAAATTATTCTTACAGAATTATCATCTGTAATAGGCAAAGAAGGTCATCTTGTCTGATCACACCCAAACAGAATTATCCTTAATACTCATCATTTAAACAAAAACAATTGGAATAAAAAGACAGAACACTACACTGTTTATGTATTGTGTCCGATGTTTACACACCACAGAGAGATACCGATTTTACAGAATCTAAATATACAAAATACCTAATGGTTTAATTTGATTAAATAAGAGTATTGAATATGCACATGAAGTGAGTTTCACATGTTACCAAATTGCAATTGACTATGCTTTACATGTTTTAAAAATCATCACTTTTGATGAAACTTGCTCCTAGATTCAGACTAGGTGTCTCTATAGTCATCATTTTTAACACTGGCAGCACAGTAACGTCAACTGGGGAACTCTTAAAAGAAATGAATGCCTAGGGCCACACCACGGAGGACACTGATTTCCTGGCAATTGGTTTGGGGAAAGGCCCAGACATCGGTATTTTTAAAGTTCTGCAGGGTAGTCTAATGTCAGCCAAGGTTGAGAATCACTGCTTCATGTAGTATAGATAGTGAGATAGAGAGGTCTTCATGTGCAGCTTCTATTTTGAAAGTCAGTCATGATTTCTCATTTTAGCAAGTTCTTTTTCTTTACCTCCTCTTTCCATTCAGAATTGAGTTCAAATATTTCTTTACAGCCATTTGTTTTCTAAGGCGGGTATAGTTGTCTGTGAAGACTGCATCTGAGTGACGTTTGACTGGTACAGGGTCTTCTGAGATGCTACTGCTGAAGAATATGAGGAAAAGGAAATCAAAGAGTTTTCACAAGAAATGATAAATACACACATGTTCCAAGTTTTTTGGAGCCACATAAAAAGGAATTCCCACGGCCAACTAATTTTCTATCATAAAAAGACTGAAAGAAAAATACAACTGAACCTAAGGATGAAGGCGAAGCAAGGAATCATCTGTCATATTTTGGCACGACCTGGGACTGTTTTATGACACATTCTGTACAGCTGAGCAAAAAATTCATCCAAAAATAAAAATTTGGGGATAGCTGAAGTTGTGCTCTGCCACTGGGAGAAAACTTTTTTAAAAAAACATAATTACTTCTTCAGAAGCTATGCTACCCTAAGCAATGTCATCTAAATATTTGGCTGTTAGCCATTTGGCATTCTCCATTTAGTTTGAGCAGGAAGTAAAAGGAATATTCTATGGTTGACCTTAACATTTACCTCAGTCTATCCTATGTCTTTGTGATTGTTTTACTGAGTCTTGTTCAATTTGATTGCAGATTGGTAAACGATTGCTACTTGAGGAAAACGTGTGTCTGGAGTCAATGAGTATGATATTATGAAAAAGTCTTAATCCATGGGCTTGATAGATATTATTGAACAATACAAGTTATTTCATTTAACTAAATTAAACATTATGAATGAGTTTTCAATTTCAAACAAGATAAAGAGCTTGTTAAGAGTGAAAATACAATATTCAGGTTGAATAAGAACACATTTTATAAAAATAATAAGTTTCTTTACCTAACACGTTTTCCCATAAGAGACTCAAGGTACTTTTTGGCAGAAAGTTGACCCAAGAGTTTACTGAAGTCACTGGTGAAAACTCCATCAGCATGCCTGGCATTTCTAAAACAAAGAAGAAAAAAATAGCTATTATTTTGTAAATGGCTTTCTAGAATATTATTGTGGCTCATTAAATGACAAAAAATTATGGGTTTATTATGAAAGCTTCTCATTGAAACTAAAGTTCAAAAGGAGATTTCTTAACTCCCTAACAAAAGAGATCTAGTCACTTATATCAAGATATACCCTGTATTTCTAGCCCAAGACACTGAAAAATTAAAGAAACAGGCATTTCTAGAAGCACATTTCAATATTCCTTCATGGTTGAATCTTTATAACTACTTTTTCTAAGAAATATTGGTGCAAAAATATGATCTATTTAAATAAGCTGCTATTTGTACATGGTGCTTTGTGTCTGCCCCACTGAATAAAGACATACACAATGGGAAAATATTCTGATTTTGGAAAGTTCATAAACCCCAGTATAGCTTTTTTTTTCTTTTTCCAAAATACTTGGAAACAATACCTCTTAAGATAGAGAAGGCATTAAAGCCTATCATTCTACCTTTTCTCTTTCAAATGAAGAACCTTTTATACTTTGTCTATACCAAGTCCTGTAGAACTACTTGGTCTGTACTTGAAATGATGCTCAGACAAGCAGTTCTATGAATGAACAGCTCTAACTATCAGATACCTTTTCTTTATATAGAGACATTAACGCCTCGGCAACTCTTCATCATTGGAATGCTAAATGCTGTAGTTTTATCAGAATTGGTACAATCTGTAATGTTGGAATTATGTGCAACAGAATGGAAGTGAATGATGTGTTCATCCTGGCTTGTTACAACCTTTCAGTATGAAAATCATGTACAGCTGTAAGAGCTGCAATAAATCAGGATGAATGAAGCCATGACACATGGAAACCTCTAGTGTTTTGCTATTGGAATAGCTTCATGGTGAGATAAAATTGGCACGTTTGTAATTCTTAAATACATTTGCTAAAATAAAACTCACTGGATAGTTTTATAAAAAATAAACTCACCTGGATACATCATAATAGGGTGTGTCATTTTCAGCTAATGCATTTTGCAAGATGTCCATGTCTTCTTTTAATGAAACTTGATCAGGTTCATTTGCTCCCTCAAAGGGTAGTCTGTCACCCAACCTGATAGGGAAAGTTACACGAGAAGTATAATACATTCCTTTTTCAGAAGACAGTGCGAGCGGTTCCGCAACCATTTAAAATAAGATACTTAAACTCTTGGGAAGTATTACCCAGTCACAATATGAGAATAACATAATTTGACTTAATGGCTCACATAGTTGATGAGAGCATAAATAGGAAATTCCTATTGTCCTACAAAGTAGATGTCATATGACTTTTATAAGCTGAATATACAAAACGTAAGAGCTACTTAATTCAATCTTATCGAAGCATTAAGCAAACTATACTTCTTTGGTGTACTTTACTATACCAAGAATATCTTCACTTTGCAGAGTCAAATTTCACATGTAGAAAGATTTTATGCAAAATAGAAACTTGGAAAAAACTAATACTGAATGAGAACTGGTAACAATTTATGTATTTGGTGATGTTCAGTATCACCTGTTCCAAACATCTCTGAAGAATGGAGTATTAATTGCTTCTCTCTCTCTCTAGACCCTCAAGCTTTGCTTCAAACATTTACCTTGGCATGATATATTTCTCTGTATTGACAAAATTCAAAGAATGTCTCCACAGATGAATAGCTCATCTATGAAGATGAATTTGAATTCAATAAATTTTATGGGACCTTCCGGTTTCTAATCTTATGTATTAACACAACTTTAATAAGGGATGTACAATGTTACACTGAAGGACTAAGAATAGTCATATGCATACATAGAATACGACTATATTTGTAGATGCCTGCATATTTCAATTACTGGCAACTCTTATACTTTTGTGTGTACAGATTTTCACTGTTAGGGCAAACCTCCAAGGAGGGTGTCAGCTCCTGGACACTGCGTATCTTTCAGTGATTTGGGAGTTGGGAGTCACTAGCAAGTAGTCCTCTGTGGGTCTGAAGCTTAGCAATCAACAGAAATGTCAGCATTCTTATGATTGTTCATCTGCTGTGATAGAACTTCAGATGGAACCATTTTATTTCGTTATCAAAGCAACACAGGAGCTGTATTTAAACAAATTTCACAGAGAACACTAATAGCTAAGAGGTTATTCTCTCTATTGAGCATAAGTCTACCTTAATCAAAAAATCAAGAATGAGCAAATAAGCAAAAAAAAAAAAAAAAAAAGAAACCAACTGAATTATTATTTTTCCTTTGGAGATATAGTGGTACCCGTAAACCGAAAAGAAAAATTCAAGCTAATGTAGTTTTCATTTACTGTTTACTTATTTAGCATACATTAATAAAGTTTTAAATATGAGTTGTATTATACTTTCTAGATTTGAAATACATAATATAACATATAGAACAATAAAACTAAGGATTTATGGTTCAAAGAATATCAAAATTTACCCATTGGGGGAGTGTATCTCAATAGATCAATTACCCCATATTTAATATTGGCAAATTGACTCTGCCTAGATAGATTTCTGTGCAACATGATTTTATACATGTTTCACTAATCAACTGCTAATCTTATGATTATTTACTGATTAATCTTGAAAAATAAACTAAAATGTGGTTGGCAACTAAACTGCTTTTTCTCCACCAGAAATTGAATTGACTTAACAATGGATAAAAGCTTATTATTCATCTAAAATTGGTGTTGAATAAAAAGAAAGTCAGAGCCTCCTTTCACCATGTTTGGGAATGTGATCCACTCAGCCCATAAAACTAATCACTGACAGTGTCTCTCATGCCCTGAAAGTGAATTCCAGGATTCAGAATGACCTGACGTTGACCTCTCACTCAACACATCAAGCAAAAATGTAAATTAATAATACATAATTTATACTATTCAGTTGTCCAACAAAACATATAGGAAATTCCCATTTAGATGAAAAAGGAATGCTCAGATGTCTGAATTGAAAGGGAGCTTACCCGAGAGCAGAAGGTGCCCTGTAAAGAGGCCACGCCGACGTCTGTGAGAACAGCACACTGAGAAGGGTCAGAAGCACAAGGAGCTGGGCCTTATTTCTGGTGTCCATTTCTGTGCCTCTAAAGAGAGAGAATCACCTTAGTTCTTCCAACCACAGATGTCACCAGCAAGGTAATTCTGAGTGCCTAGCAGTAATTTTCAATGGCTCTTGAAGAGTTTGTAGAGAGTAATTTTCCTCTTGTAGAAAGAGATAAATTGCAAGATGATACATTCAAAAATCAATATTTCTCTCAGTGACAGGTACTTGAATAAAAAGTAGAATCCTTTTCACCTGCTGTCTGGGCACATGGTTGGCCCCAGTATCTATTGAATGCCATACTTCTATAGTGTTGGAAATAACCCTGGGGACAATCTTTTCATAACAGGGCTGTACCACCCAGGCTTAGTGTATTTTTTGACGAAGGAAACAGCTTCAAGACATTGATTTTCTTCGCTTTAAGATTTCAGTATCTGATTAATATAAGACTGGGGTATCATCTATTTAATAATTCTTCTGCTCGTGTTTGTACAAATGTATAAATATAATATGTATATATACATATAATTTTTTAAAAGATTTTGGATCTACATTACTTTTTCCTCTTTCAATTGTAGACATTACTAGAAACTTATTTCCTTACACCTGAATTTGAACATCTTAACTCAGTAGTGAATATTAATACTCAAAATATCACTGAATCATATATTGTCACTGAAATGAATTTTTCCATCAGAGGAAAATATATGTTAAAAGCAAAACTTGCATTTCTTGCATTTAATCAACTTACACATTTCATTTCTAGTTTCTAGATTAAAAATTTAGGAGTTCAAGGTCTGTTTCTCTTGCTGCCTATAAAAATTACAAAATTTAAACTTAAGGCAAAAAATAAATGCATCTTAGATTCACTTAAGCAACATATGAAATAGGAAAAAAAGGCACTGTAAAAATAAGTTGAAAATTTCAAAAGCAAATGTGCCCACTGAAATTTTCAGTCAAAAATCTACATACAAGTAAACTTGGTTTGAATGAATTATTTTTGAAAATCAGTATTCAGTAAAAGAGCAAGCAGGGTAAAGCATCTTACAAACAAAAGAATTCAGAAAATCTATCTATATGAGAGAAATTGAAGTATTTCTATCCTTACCAGGTGACTTGAGAAACTTGTCTTTTTGCTATTGCAAAAGCAGAGCACTATCAAATTCTTTTCAATAGAGAGAAAAATTCAGTATGTTGTAAGAAAAGTTTCAGAGGCAGGAGGGAAAAAGAAGAGGAAAGGTAAAGTTTTCACTTACCTTGCCCACTCGTGCTCCCCCGGAGCTGCCTGTTCTGGTTTGTTTTGGAGCTGTCTTAGGTGCTGAAGTCCTGGGAGTAAGAGGAAGGCTCCACCAGTTCTCTGCCCTTAGCAATGGCTAAGGGTTGGCTGTTACTGCCTGCTGGTGCTTCTCACTCTACCCTGACCAGCATTTCAAAGCCCATCATTTTATAGGGCTTATACTTGGGACTGAGCAATCACAAAGCGCTCTGAAAGACGTCACAGTATGACGGCCATGGGATGAATAGTGCTTGAAGTTCTTACTTAATTGTCATTATGTCTAATTTATATAAGTTTATAGTGAGTAACTTCAAGATGTAAGATAAGAGGAAATTTACTTTTGTTTAAACAAACAAAGTAGCAAGCTCAATGTGAAATGTTTTAACCTTTACTTAATTGTAGTGAAATAAGAAAATGATTGTAGTGTTATAGCCATGGCCACTGGGATTCCTTCAGAAAATGAAGACTTCATGTGTAGAAACAAATGCAGAAAGCAAGAAACACTTACGTTCATTATGCTTATAAATGTGTAACTATACTTTATTACCAAATATCAATTCTGTTAATATTTTTAATTTGTATGCTATTCATATAGATCCAGATTTAATCTTTCTTGAAATCTATCCTAACTTTAAAAGCTCTAGAGATAACTTTCACCTTTCTATTATTACATTTCCTTTTTGTTGAAACTAATCCCAAGATAAATGTTTCAGAAAGTCTCTAAGATAGTAAGATATGCACGCTGTTGTACAAAGCAGTAGAAGTAGTGCTATTTCATATTTGTATACAAAGCAGTAGAAGTAGTGCTATTTCGTATTTGTATAAAAAGGCACAATTCCCAATGCACTTTTACATACACTGTGTCAAATGATCCAAAAAATAAATTCTTGTCAGACTATATACCTCAAGGAATTTAATTATCTTTTCTTTTTAAAGGTTTTCCTCATCACTTTTATAAGTCTTTGCATAATGTAGAATTAGTTTTCTACCCTCACCCCCAATGCACACACACATACTCAAACCAGTTTGGAACATCTCTGATTCAATCACTTGACAGGTGGCTTCAAATAATTAGTTGAAAAACATTTATGTAGTACTTTGATAAATACTTCACTTCTATTTGTGGATTTGTAACTAAAGGTAGCTTAGTATGCATTCAATTAGAGTTTCAAGGTAAAAAATGCAGCCACATGAAAAATTTCCTAAACAACAGAGTAAAATGTCATTTTTCCTTTTGTGTTAAAGAATTTCTGCCATGTGTATTATTTTTACATTTTGTTTGTAAGTTTCATAAGAAAGAATGGCTTTACAGTCCTCTTTCTTCTACTTTAAGATTTTAGTATCTATTTGCTTCATTCAAAGTCAGACTGATCCAGTAAAAGACTATCCTGCTATGCTTAATCATATTTTCTAATCCAGTTACCAGAAAAATTAAATGAATTAAATTTCAAAATGTCTGGAAATTTGTTTCCCAGTTGACAGCTCTGACTTAAGCCAGAGTTCCTGTGGCTTAATTCCAGGAAATCTTTTTTTACCTGATTATTACAAACTAGAGGTTGAAATGGCTCTCATATGGAATTTTTTTATCCTTAGCTCTTCATCACCCAATTCTTAGTGAATCAATTTTATTTAAGAGCAGCAACGGCAAAGCAACTTAATTGAGGGTCACAGACAAATTACTGCTGAATGATAAGAAGAAAAATTTTAAACATAAAAGATGTAAAGCTGATTATTATTTGACCTAGGCAAGCACTTAGCATTTACAAAGAGTAACTATAGTGGCTTTTTTCAATAGAAAAGACAGTTGCTTCTATTATAATAATAATAAACTAAAATAAAAAGAAATAATTCAATTTTATTACCTCTGAATAAAAGTAAACTTAATCAAAGAACTGCATTTTCTCTTACGAATTTAAACTAGAAAGCAAAACAATTTGAAAATGGAACCATAGCACCATCTGCAGGTTCAAAGTTTTAATTCACAGATTTTATAAAATTGTGTTTATTTTTTTCTTTTCTTTCAAGGAAATGAATTGTAAACCAGAGGTCCTTTAACCGGCTTAACTTATGGATGCTTACAGAAAAAATAAACATAAAAAAAAGTACTGCAGTTGAATTTATCCTAAATTCTCGGTTACCATAAAACTTAGTAAATAAATACAAAAATACAAATGTGAATTTACTCTTTAAATCTGTCTTTTCCGTACTTTGACATATTCTTCCATAATTTGCCTACATTTCTGGCAACGTTTATTTTTGCCTTACGCCTTCTTAGTAAAGTGGTGTTTGTAATAAGGGGAACTATAATTCATTTATATGGGTAGAAAAATCTTCAAGATCCTTCTTTTACAGATAAGTAAACTGATCTCCAGAAAGTTTCAGTAATTTTTGCCACTCAGGTGGCTAATAATAAATACGAGACTGGAAGATAGACTGTCTGATTTTGAGTCAGCACTCCTTCAGTTTAGAATTGGTAATATTCTGTAATTGTTACTATCACCATTTTGATGCTAGCAGGTCAGATATGGACATTGACAGCTCATAAAAATATTGGCATCTCCTCTCCCCTTTTTCACCAACAGAACCAAGCGCAGGGAAATAAAACTGGCATTCTAAATTCAAACGTAGTGGATGCAAGGGAATTAGATGGAAGGGATTTTTAAGCTCAGGATATTAGCAGAAATCCAAATTTGCCTTTTTTTCTTTAGTGCAATATGCTAATAGAGGGTCCATATTCTTCTTATGGATTAAATGCCTAAGCTTATGCTCTTCTGCCTCTTTGTATGATGGTTTTACCTGCCTAATTTCCCCTGTTTCACCTCCAGTCCTGAGACCTAGCCAGTGTCTACCATGGTAATCCTGAGTGGGTGAGTCTAGACCAGAGGTCTGGAAACTACAGGCTGTGAGCTAGATAGACTGACCCCTCTGGGTTTTGTTTGTTTGTTTCTTCATTAATTTGTTTTTGTTTGTTTATGTCTTTCAAGCTAAGAAGGGTGTTTATATTTTTAAATGGTTAAAAAAATTAAATGAACTTTTTGTGACACATGACAATTATATTTTATTATTTTATTTTATTTTGAGATGGAGTCTCACGTACTCTGCCATCCAGGCTGGAGTACAGCAGTGCAATCTTGGTGCACTGCAACCTCTGCCTCCTGGATTCAAGCGATTCTTGTGCCTCAGCCCCCAGAGTAGCTGGGATCACTGGTGCCCACCATGTTGGCCAAGTTTTGGTCTGGAACTCCTGAACTCAAGTGATCTGCCCGCCTCAGACTCCCAAAGTGCTGGGATTACAGGTGTGAGCCACCTTACCTGGCCAAAACTTATATATAATTTAAACATCAGTGTCCACAAATAAAGTTTTATTGGAACATAAAAACATTTCGTCATATATGTATTCTCTATAGTTGCTTTTGTGCTACAACGGCAAGGTTGGATAGTTGCAACAAACTGCACAGCTCTCAAAGGTTAAAATAAGTACTATTTGGTCTTTCACAAAAAAAGTTTTTCAATCCTCTAGATCCTCCTCTTTGGCAGATATTTAAGATGACATGTTTGCTTTAATATTCTTAAATCCAGTATCTTTCAATAACTTGTATTAGGAAATACACATCTGTGTATATATATATTTTATATACCTAATGTATAATGTATTATGTGCTGTATATATGTATATATACATAAATAAATATATCCTATACAATATATTATACATGTATGTATGTATAACATACAGAATGTATACATACATTTAATATACATGTATACTTTTACTAAAAGTATACATTTGCATAAGATGTATATACATATGTATATTTGTATAGCATATTAAAAGTTTATATATTTAAAGCATATATATTAGAGTATATATAAACACTTTCAATTCTTTTAACTTAGAAAATTTGAATTTATTTTAGGATTTTGTATTCTTGTCATATTAGTGATTTGATGAAAATAATGTTACAAAAAAGGTCAATTTTCCCTTTAAAGTTACCTATTAGAATTCATTCTGGAATCTAAAATTATATCAGCAAATATAAAGGAAAACAAGTAATGATCTAAATGATATGATTGAGGACAACTTCTCCCTTAACTCCAGAACCTTGTTATCTGTCCCACTTACTGATGCTGAGAAGTTTAGAGAAAATTATTCCTTTGTCTCAGAATTTTCTTGCTTCAAATCAAATTAGGTGTAGAAACAATAATGTGTAAGTGCTGCAAGTCATTTGAACTTTATTAGGGTTGTATTTATCAGATGATTTCCTGAAAATAGATTTCAAAAAGAAGGCTGTAGAGAAATCACAAGAACACAAAATACTAGGATGTGGAAGTTGAAAAATAGAGTATTAAATATTTTAAAACCAATTTTATCTACTTCACGATGTCATCTCTTACATATGTGTTCCCCCACCACGTAGAGTATTTCTCCCTTATTTATAGTTTCTCTTTCCGTGATTTCAGTTACCCGTGGTCAACAGCAGTCTGAAAATATTAATGGAAAATTCCAGAAATAAACCATGTATTCGTTTTAAATTGTGTGCCATTCCAAATAGCATGATGAAATCTTCGGCCATCCTGCCCATTCCAGTCCGGGATGTGAATCATCCTTTTGTCCTATGTTGTCTATGCTACCTCCCAGGTAAGTCACTTAGCCAGTTTGTTGACAGATGGAAAATATATGGTTTATATAGGGTTAGGTGCTATCAGTGGTTTCAGGCATCTGTCGGAGTGTTGGGAGATGATTGTACACATTCCATGTAATCAGACCTTAACTCAATCACATCCTCTGTCTACTGTATGGATCCAGTGAAAAACAACTATGTCTAATTTCCGGCTTTTAACCTTAAGAAAGCTGCGGTCTAGATGTTAGAATGAAGATTTGGCAAGAATATTTTCTGAGTGAGTTCTCATGGCCCCTCTACCACTACATCTTTTCTCCATAGGCCAGGGAAGCACCTCTGAGATGGGGAAGCTGGTGTGAGTTTACGGTAGAGTGGAAGCGGTGGATGACAGAACCCTGTGTTATCAAGTGTAGGGACTGAACAATAGAGGTTAACTTAGCTTCATTTCACATCTGATTGACATAAGACAAAGTAAATCATGGAGAAACACTCTGGATAATAGTACAGGAGACAAACCTGGATGACAGTTGCACACCCTGCTTGGGAAAATCTGAAATGCCATCCAGGGAACAAAGAGTGGAAAGGGCCTAGCAAGGGACAGGTTTTAAACAACCTACCAAGAGC